GCCCGGCGGGGGGGAGGGGGGGGGGGTTGTTTCATGGAAGCCACCCTTTGGAATGTTAGCCGGTCCTGTAAAAGCACACCCCCACTACTGGGGGAGTCACAGCACACAGGGCGGAGGAGGGGGGGGTCATAGAGATGGCACGTGACCTCAGCTGAAGACGGGGCACTCGAAAGAAATAAAAAATGACAACGCTGACACTAACCGGGCTGAAGGTGGCGCTGTTCAGCAGGGCAGCAAGGCCTGTGAGGGGTTCAGCCTGGGGTGCTGACGTCAGCCCTGGCAGCTGGATTTATAACCACATTACTTACTAAATATCACTACAAGAGGGAGCTACAAAAACAAACAAGCATATGTTCTACACCAGGATTCAGGATTCAGAACGTGAGCCTTCGGGGATTCAGTGTTTAAAAAAACCATTTTGCCATTCTGAGCGCTGAACTTGTCATAAACATGAAACAGGATGCGTGTTTAAAAACCGCAGCATGTGGCTTCCAGAAGCTTGAGGGGATTCGACGCGGAGAGACGCCTCGCTACTTGGGCCTCCCCTTTAACAAGCTGGGGGGGAGGCCGGCCCCCACTCGCTTTCCAGCCGCCTCCGGCTCCGCGTTCCGTCTCCAACGCTCATAAACCCGCTGGCCTCCGCCACGCGGATCGGGTCTCTCCGTCACGCATCCTGCGACTTGCTTTCTTTGCCTGCGCCGTGCCCGAACTGTTAGCTATCTATTGTCATAGTGTCTCTAACAGCAGCAAGCAGTGCCAATAAAGGGAATAAAGGTTCTGATTCTGATTGGACGGAGAAGGTGAACCGGATCGCGGCGCCAAAAGTCCTGCTCCACTCCCAGACGCATCCCAGTAGACCTTATCAACTGGCAACCAACTTGCGAAGAGCTTCTCTCCTGATGCTTCCTTGCAGATTGGGGGGGGGGTCACAGAAGACAATCCTATTGCTCAATATTCAGGTTGCTGAAGAGCGGCAGTGCTGAAGGCCTCATCTTGAGGCATCTTGCAGGGCTCCGAGTGAGAGAGACGTCCAATTACGTGTGAATTTGTTCAGAAGGCATCTCATTGGCTTGAGGGCAAACGGCGCAGGACTGACCCAACTCCCTCCCACAAAATCACAAAAGCACAGTGCTTAAGGATCCGGACTCATCTACTGTGTTTATGTAGGTTAACTTAAATGAGATGCACAACCAGAACGGCATTTTTGATTAGAAGTGGTAAAACGTGCTGCACAGTGCTGGTCTTCTCCCTTTTCAGACAGGCACCTCCTAAGACAGCCATCCTTTGGAAGGCATGGCAGCTTGACCCCCTAGTGCTGGGGGTCCTGAGAGGGAAGGTGGGCATTGAGAGGGGGAGGGAGGTTTCGCCAGATGCTGTGAATGAGGATGATAAACCTGTAGCAGAACACCTCTCCGCATCCCCTTCGCTGGGGGGGGGGGGCACAAATGGCTGTGATTTTATCAGCAGCCTGACCTGTCGGTGGTCTGAATCAAACTGCCGGGGGGCGAGGGCTGTTCCACAATCCCTAAACCGTCTATATCAAAAGGGGGAGGGGTCCCTGATGCCTTCCCCATCAATGAGATAAAAGGCAACAGGCTTGAATGAAAATCACACTTCAGCTTCAAAATCCTCCCGGCAAGCAAAGGATGTAAATCCCCATGTGCCAGACAGACTGACCGCGCCCAGCGCACCCACACTCCTCAGCCTGATTTATGGATACGGACCTTGAAGTATTTCTGGCTAGAAAAAAAAAAAAAAAAAACACACTCAACCTACGCGTTCGGTAGAGCAGATGCTAGAATGTTCCGGGGCAGGCCCTGACCGTCACGGTTTACGTTATCAAAACACTGCCGTTGGATGGTATCGGAGTGATGTGAAAAGGGTCTGTGGACCAAGCTCTTTGCTTCCTCACGCGCACGCACCATAAATCCCCAACGACGACCCGATTTGTTTTCCCAGTATCCTTAATGGTTTGCCCCACTAGACCCCGTGCCCTAATGCCCTTGTAGTTATGCTGATTGGACACAGACTCTGCATCTGCTTAAGCCATTTGCCTGTTTTACATGCGCAGGGTGACTGGACAGCGGCCATGGTGACTGGACAGCGGCCAGGGTAACGAGAACAAATATAATAAAATAATAAATAAAGGATTAAAGGTTGCTGAAGATACACGAGGTGGCTTCACATGAAATTGTCATTTCCTTGCATCAACCCCCCCCCCCCACAACCCCCACGAGGCCCTCAGAGATACTGCTGCCGGTTACCATGGCGAGAGGCACGTAAAGGGGTGGCCTTCAATTCAGGTGACGGGGCAGATTTGCAGATATGTGACGCGTTTGTATCCGAGAAGCACGACTCCCCTTCTGATCTGTTTTTACACTGTTAAGTGTAAAAACAAATGAGTTTCTACACTAGAATGTCATTCTACACTAGAAACTCATTTGCCTTCATTCCAAATCTAACGTTAATCCGATACTGCAAGTCTCCACTAAAGAATCACTCTTATCAAAGTACCCCGGGCAAACACCGACATGTCTTACAGCTACTGTCCCCTCACAACCTTTTTAGAATAGTCACATGTCCATTTTGGCCTCTCTGCTCAGAGCCCAAGATTCACTTTGAACTGTGTGTGTGTGCATGTGTCAAAGGAGAGCATGATTGGATTTGTAAAAAGAATCTTTACAATGTACCTGTACCCATGTTTGTGTAAATGGCAAATAAAGCACAATTTCATTTAATTTCATTTCCATTTCATTTAATTTCATTTCCATTTCATTTCCATTTCATTTCCATTTCATTTAATTTCATTTAATTTCATTTCCATTTCATATCTTTTAATCTGTACAACCCTCCTGTTTTTGGGAGGATCCTCTGTTTACCTTTTATATTATTAATAATAGTAGGGATCTTTGTTATTTCATATAATCTTTCCTTCAACCCCCCCCCCCCCCCCCCAAAAATAAATATCATGCAGATCCTTGTGAGTGTGCTGATGCAGAAACCGGATTACAGGCTTCTCAGCCCGGCCCGATTTAGCAACCGCTGGCGGCAGACGTGACTCACACCGCGAATGGACTACCCCCCCCCTGGCACGCCGTGAGCGTGGGTCGGCGGGTGACACGCGTGGGGATCCAGCCTTACAGTATTTAGGTGAAAGAAAAACGAGCCACAAGAATGAAGGACCTGTATCTCAGTATCTCCTACAGCTGTGGAGAGACATGCCGTGTGTTTCTAAAGCTCCACTGCAATTATAGATTATTTTGAGGTCTTAAGAGCTGCGCTGGTGTATTAACTGCATTCAGAAATAAACAAAAGCACAATATTCGATAGTTTTGAGAAGAAAACTGCTTCTGGCAGGACTGCAGCGACGCTGAGACCCTGAAGCACGCAGCTCAGCGCCTGGCAAGTTAAATAAGGGGTGTGACGTCCGGCTACGAAACTTCAGTTCTGACTGCTAACTACTGACTGGTCACCTCTTAAACAAGACTATCAATCAGATGTAATGAAAGTGTCTCTCTCTAAATAACACAAAGTACACAGGCTTTTTTAAATAGAACCACACTGTACCATCAGGAGCTCGCGGACGCAAGCAATGATCTGCGCTAACATGCTGCTTGCAGTTTTCAGCGGTGGTAACGTGACACGCTCCCCGGGGGGGGGGGGCAGTTTGCAACACAGTTAGCACATTTCCCTGCTCAGACGCCTACAAAACCTGGCAATTAGTCAGATCTGTTTGAGCAGGGAATTCTGCAAACTGTGTTGAGTTCTCTCCCTCCAGGACCCGGATTGGGGAACTCTGCTCTAGGGGCAGTTTTCATGCGACAAAAGCACAGTCCCTCGTCGGCCCAATTGTTAATTAAACTAATCAAGACGGAGAGACATCATTAGCACTTTAAAGAGGGATAGAAAACCGGGGCCAAGTCCACTCTGCTGGGACTGGAGCTGAGAGTCATCAGATTTAAAAAGCTCAGAGCCATTTTGACAGCAGTCAAAAGCTACCTTCTCTGGAATGAATCCCAGAGGTCTAAGAATATATAGAAATAATAACTTCATTAAAGCCTTCATTAAATGTATTCCAAGCATGCATTAGTAAGTGCCTAAACTGTAAGGTGACAATAAATTAACCTGGGCTGTATATTTTTACATATCTTACAAAACGAGCATTTGGAAAGAGGACTGAGAATAAAAAAAAGCCAGTTTAAAATAAAACAAGTGTGACACGTCATTGATCTCTTGTCCCTCCTGCCCATCCGTCCCACTAAGAAACACCCTGGGTGGTCCCACAAGAACCACTCCTCCCGTAGAAGGCCTTCAATCCATCATCTTGACAGGTGACGGAACGCAGATAGGGGAGGGCCGACGCAGACCCCCCCACGGCAAGCGGAGCTGCTCACGGACACCGTCTCCGCAACTTCACAGCAGGAGATCACGTCTCACGCGGCCCGTCAAGCCAGACCAGGCTTCAGGAAAACCCATTTCCCAAGAGGTCCGACGCGTGACGGGAGACAGAGAAAGAGGCTTGGTGGCAAAATAACTCGGCACACGTTCTTTCTCGGCCGCGGAGATCAGCGCGGCAAATTCCACAGGTGTTCCGAGACGCCTCTAAGCCTGCTGCTGGCGTGGCGATGGGAGGAAGCTTGCGGAGAAACTCATATGAGGGGATGGTCACAATCACGCAGTTACGCACATTTACTTTATTCACAATGAGCATAATATCTACTGAATCTAACAGAGACTCTGCTGGCCAGAAGCAACGGGTGGGGGGGGGGCGCAAGTCTCTACTAGGGGGGCCTGGTTTTAATGAAAATAAATGAGAACACAGTATAGAAGCTAATCAGCATACATTTATTTGGAGGGGGGGGCCTGAAGAACATTTTAGGGAGGGTAAAACCCCCCAAAAAAATGACCATTGTGATGCCCCAGGGACAGGCCAAGGAGCGGCGTGCTTCAGCATCAGGGCTGTGACCCACCTGGGGGGTCCATGAATCTCTGAAATTCTGATTATTAACCCCGCCCCCCCAAAAATGCTCCAGGGGTGCTGGATGAACGACCTGACCCTGCATCTAGACCACAAACTCCTGTACTCGTGGGAAATGGTTCATAGCCGTGGTCCCTGGTTCAAAAAACTACCGCAGACCCCTGATCTGAAGACCCTGACATGATAGGAATCCAGAGGCTGAAGAGAGGAACAGAGGTGAGAGCATCGAAGTAAGGAAAATAGGAGCAAGGTGCCAGAATTCCCCCATGCAGGGCGGGGGTGCGAACAGCGACCGGCCCCCCCTTACCTGTAGATGGGGTCGTGCATCACCATGATCTTGCTCTCGTCCCATGTCCACTCTTTTTTCTGCAGGGACAGAGAGTGTGATTTGGTGACATGTCTGCTCAGGGTGACGGCGACAGGAATTGGTGACTTCCACCGATGCTGTCAAACACCCATATTTACATTTGGAAGTGTGGTGTTAATCTTACTAAAAGCAACAGATGGGAAGATTAAAATTACTGCAACAGCTCATTCATTAAATTAAAAATGAGCTATATGAACAAATTTGCCCTTTTAATTCTCAAAGTGATTTATTGAAAATACTGTTGGTTAACAACACAAAAGTAATGAATGTGGATGTGTTTATAAATAACTGTAATGTGATGTGATACGTCCCAGACACTGGCAGCCCATTCAGCGTGCCCCCCCCCTCGCGCCTGCTCCAGCGTGCCCCCCGCCTCGCGCCCGCTTCAGCGTGCCCCCCGCCTCGCGCCCGCGGCTCCCTAAGACAGACCCCAGGTTCACCGTGACACTGTACTTGATAAGCAGTTATGGAAGATGGATGGATCTCTGAGAACCTAAAATGCAAGGTTGACTGGTTTTCTGAGGCCTCAATGCACCAGTATGAACTTGCCAGGAAATGTCACTTCCACACACTGGCCATCACTGCAGCCACTGCTTTTTGGGGAATGACGACCATGCCCAATCTGGTGACGTAAGCAAGAGATAACTGGACCCCAGCCCCCTTCCCGGAGGTCTCAGTTCCAATACATCTCAGAGGAGAAATGATTTCCATTCAGACACCTTAATTACAGCACGCTTATGCAAATAATATCTGGGCGCTGATCTGCTTAATTCTTCCATGATAAGTGAACTGGATAGGAGCCATGCGACACGCCACGGTCGCCGGGGGAAACGGCGGGATGGAGCCGGCTGGCGGGAAACATGCTCTCACTGCCTGAGCTGGGGATCCGCTCGCGTCAGATGGTCGTGCCGGAGCTTTCAGTGCCCTCTGTGGTTCTTGTAGAGACGCAGCTGATTATGCGAAGGCCGGGCCGTTTATTTCAAAGGGAATTATGTTTATCTGCTGCAAACCACAATTACTGACCCTTACATTAAGTCCTCCATTTTTCCATAATAAAACTGAATTTCAAAATATTTCTGAATACTGAAATATATTAAACAGAAAGAGGAAACTGAAATACCTACATAGCTAAGAATGTGCCTTTAACGGGCCGCAATTAGAGGTTTTGCCTAATTGGGCTGTTCTTCTTAATGATAGAGATGATAAACAAACGTCACCCCAAAGGAGGGTAGAGCCCTGCTGTGTCTTCCTATCCCCCAACAGACCTACAGAGTTTCAGCCATTGCAGATAAGCATCTCAGTTCCTCAGGCACAGGAGGACTTATAACCATAAGCGTATAGGTTTGAGTCCTGGGAACTTCTGAGAATCACTTCTAGAATCCAGCCTAGGACGACCACCTAATCCATGTCAGCAGGGACACTATGAGCTACTTCAGGTTTTACAAACTACCTTAAAGCTGAAAGGCTCCTGTGCTCGGCTAAATGGTTCAGTTCATCTTGTGCTTTGACTGGTTTGTTTCCTTGATTGAAAGACTCATCCAGCTGTTTCACATTAACATTAGTGACACGTGCATGATTACAGGAGACTGACCAAATCAGCACACAGCAAGAACTCAGTGCTTAAGCGAAATCCAGGTCTTTTTAAATTGAAATGGTAGTTTGTGAGGCCTGCCCTAGGTGACAGTGTCCCACCTGACATGGGTTAGGTGGTCACCCTAATCTAAGGTAGGGTGAACTGCAAAGCCGAGGGTGAACTGCAAAGCCGAGGGTGATCTGCAAAGCCGAGGGTGACCTGCAAAGCCGAGGGTGACCTGCAAAGCGGAGGGTGACCTGCAAAGCCGAGGGTGATCTGCAAAGCCGAGGGTGACCTGCAAAGCCGAGGGTGACCTGCAAAGCGGAGGGTGACCTGCAAAGCGGAGGGTGACCTGCAAAGCCAAGTTCTCCAGAAGTGGCCTTGGATGCAAGGCTGACCGTAACAAGGACTCACCTTTTTCTTCTTCCTCAGGATGACCTTGACTCCGTCCACTGAGACAATGAGGTTGACCTTCCTCTTCTTAATGTTCTTCACTTTGAATTCATACTAAAGGGAGGACGAACGAGAAGGAATCTGCATCAGCAGGAATACTGGGGAGGCCAGCAGGAGACAGAGAGGCAGGGTCATGTGACACAGGGAGAGAGAAACAACTGAGGTTTGGCAGAGTAGGCAGTAAACGGTTAAAACAAAACCAAAATTAACAACCCTTGTAGACAGACAAAAATGGACAATGAATGGACTGGGAGTTGGCTCTTGGGACAGTACCCAGATAATACTCCAACTTCCTGGAACCAAGAACAAGACAATTAATATAACAATGAGGTGACAGGTGACTCTAATCAGCTCTTAAGGCTGTGGGCACCTGACTGTCCTTTTTGAGGTGACAGAAATATTAAATTAGCAGACAAAACTCAGAGGAATATAGAACAATGGCTTGGTTGTTTTGCTTCAAGAGGACAAGAGTAACATCGTACAGAAAAACACACAGAGACGTACACAAGTGAGCCTTATTATTGCAAAGTGAGTGCTATGCACAGGTGAATATATGGTGGGATAAAAGTACAAACAAACTGGGCTCCGCGGAGGGAGAAAAATAGTCTTTGGTAGCGAGGGAAGACGCCCACAACAAAGTGTTCACTTCCCTCACTGAGCAAACGTAAGATCGCTCCAGCTACCAGTCCTCAAAGAATGGCCGATTAATTCTGTGTCTTCACAGTACAGCGCGGCCTTGCTGGGGGCCCGAAACGGCACGCCATCTAAACAAAACTCTAAAATAAACATGTTTTTTCCCCAACCAATGATCAGATGTTTAATTCATAACCCCCCCCCCCATACACCAGCACCACCTACCCCTGCTTGCTACACCCTGAAGTTCCCGGTACTTTGAATAAATCCGAACCCTCAAGATGATTTCGCTCTGGATTTCCTTTCTTCCTCCCACTCCTGCCGATGATAATTACTTCCTGTTTGGGCTGATCCTAATTGGATGCCTTTGGAAATGTGCAGTCTGTCCCAGTGGCGTCCCAGCAGGGGTTTTGCTGGCAAGTTGCTGGAGAATCGACCAAAGGAGCTACAGGCTCAGAAGTAGCGGTAGGTCTGGAAACCTGTAGATCTCCTTTGAAACTCAGCCTGGGACAAAGGCAAGCCTGCGACTCACAGCCCTCTGAGATGCGAGAGGAGGTTCAATCGAAAGGTTAAAGAAGGGACTGTACCCACGAATTTGTACCAAGACTTTAATGAAGGATCATTAAAGAATAAATTAATTTGAATTAAAAATGGCGAGTTCAAGCCACAGTGACCCGTTTGATTTCCTGACTTCGACTTATAATGCAAATTATGCATTTCATACTATTTTTTGCACGTCACAGGTTGATGGATTTCTGGCCTAGATTTTGTCTGCCATTAATAAAAAAATGTTAAGGTTTTTTGCAGCGTTAAGGTTTTTACCTAGATCAGTGATGATTTTACTAAAAATATACTGTGAAATTTTTGGTATAAAAAGCCAGGCCTTGTTTCCACAGCAACAAACAAACAAAAACAAACAAAATAAGATCTCTACACTTCTTAGGAAAAGAACATGTAAGAAACTGCAGCGGAACATCAAAACTCCCCTTTGAATGGCGAAAAACTCGTAGTTCTGCAAGACACCTTCAAACACCAAAAACTGATACGACAATCTTAGCTCACTTCACGGCGGTTTAAAGAAAACCTTTTTCCGCTGACGCTGGAGGCTGAAGAACAGCCTGAAGTACACGTTCTGTAAGCAGGGAAAAAAGCTCGGATACAAACACGCTGTTATTTTTTGGCCAAACAAAAACAGGAAATTATGATAATTTAGCTACCCTGTTATATTACCTAGTACTTGTGGCAGACATAAGGCTGGTGTTTTGCTTTATACACTTCCTGCATGGTTTACTGAACAGTTTCCTTTATAAGATGAGATCAGTTCATGAATGTTTTTCAATTTCGCCAACGTAACTTGGTCCACACACTAATCAGAGAAAGACAATTTTCAATAAACCACAGTATATATCTTCTGTTCTATGGCATCCTGCAGGCTATCTGATTTTATTTTCTTTGCAAGTTATTGTGCACAGTGCAGGGCTGCACAAACTCGGTTAGGGCAAACGACACAGCGCACACGACCCGAGCTCCAGGTTAGACCTGCTATTCAATACAACCTGTCAGCTCTGACAGGGGAAAGTCTGGAGTTTCCCAGGAGTGGCTAAAATTCATGGTTGGGAAGAGGAAAGTTCTTTTGATCTGATCAACTTGCTTTCCACTGCGGCTCCCACCAGCACCAACGGCGAGAAAATGGATAGAAGGCTGAGAATATTTTCCTCAAAAGCCACAGTAGCCCTACAGCTCATCTCCTGCAGTTAATTACATGCTCTGAACACGGTAACGGCATGTTAATGGATTTCCACCTACTACAGCTGTTAAGACTTTCATCACAATATTGATATTAGCTGGGCTCTCCTACTCGCCTCCTGGGAAGTACACATTGTTTACATTGGACAGATGCAATCTACTCATCCAAGTGAACGGCCACGTACACAAACGAAAAATCGAGAAAGAAAAAAACTAGTATACAAAGACCACTAGTACAACAAATGCAACATAGATTAGGGTGTCTGCGCGCTCTGGGGGGGGGAAGTCGACGCCGAGCCGGCTGAAAGTGCCCCGATTCATCACCTCACCCAAGCCAAGAATCCACACACAAAGAAACACCTCCTCTTCAATCCCTCTTACAAACATCTCCGGGGAAAGCAAAACTGAAGAAGCCCAGAAGATGATGCCGCACCAGAAAACCAGCCAAGGAAACGAGGAAAGCCGGCTGTGCGGCGGTTAAAGACAGAGAATGAAACGGAAAACTGCTGATTCACGTCCCAGCGAGGACCACTGACGTAATATTGGAGTAAAGTACACAATCATGGACATCAAGATGCTGTATGAAGCTGCAAAAATACAGGAGTGCCTTTGTTTATCGGTGATACATGCAGCCTGGCTAATGTATGTTTTGTTATTTGTCTTGCTTGCCTTGTGATGTGCTTGCATGCAAATACAGAAACTTGCCATGTGCCCAACATAGGTGTAAAACCAAAAACAACTCTATAGTAGGTATCCTGATATACGACTCAATTTTTTTCAGTTTTTGTCAAAAGTGGAAAAAAAACACTCAACCAAAGAGAAGTGTTTCCATAGCGACCTGAGGGCCGTCTAAGGACCCAACCTAAACAGCGAGTGGGCTTCAAAGCAACACTGATCATAATAATACGGCACTGTTTAAAGGGTGTGAATACAAATCTATGCCATTTCAGAAGAATCTTTTGGTTTATAAAAACTTTAGGAAAAAGTTTAGGAATATTCAGAATTAAAACTATTTGAACGAAACAGAAATGCAATGACTGTTTGAAAAGTATGCTGCGCAATATAATTAATTTAAAAGATTAAAACGTGAAACTTTATTTTGTGAAAGTGTGATATTTCTGGAATAAAGTGTTCAAGGGCCCCCTTCAGTCACACTGGGGAGTAAACGGTGTTGCTGGATAAGACAAACAGTAATAATAGAATCTTTCAGAAGGTCCCACCTCACCTTCTTTGTTCTGACAGATCTGAGGTCTCATGGTTACTTTGAAGCATTAGAGTTGCCTCAAGAAAAAAAATTATGTGAGATTGTGAGAATAACAGACCTAAAGATATATGCGATTTGGTACGTCGTCTGGCCAAAGCAAACTGCATTTCCATTATATGTTATTAACACTACACATCTTCATTATAGGCCACATGGGCTAACATCTCAAAACAGCTAAGGGACTTTCTGCAATTAAGAATAAATATAGAATCTTAATAGTGAAAAGCAAACTATTAGATATCTTCTGCATATACCTATATAACAGAGAGTGTGATATTGGATTATCCATCCATCCATCCTTTTTTTTGTACCTGTACCAGAAGCTATGGGCACAAGACAGGGGATAACCCAGGATGGGGCACCTTTGAGGGTAGAAGGACGTATCACTGGAGCTGTTTCCTTAAGGATCTGCCAACTGTACCGTAAGTTTTAGTCTAATTTAAGGTATAGAAATGGACTCCCAGGAACATTTTTGTATCATGGGGGGTACATTAATGTCGTTCGTACCTGGGGGAACAAAACTGTACCAGAGCTGTACCCTTTTTCTGACAGTGGATGGGCAGCAAGTTTCACCATGTTGATCACTTCTTCGGGGGGGTGGGGTGCTATGAAGAGGTTAGAGGGGGAGGAGCCAGCTGTTTAACCCACCCTCAGGAATGCCGTCTTGTGTTGCTCTGGCCAGAGGTACGCAGGTTCTGTAGCGCAGGAGGGATCTGGACCTCCGGGCCGTGGGTTCGGCTCGGGAATGACAGGCCTCCCATAACTGCCCAAAGACCACATTGTCACCACATCCATACTAATGAGATCTGCAGTATGCATAACACCTCTCTTCCACAAGGTCCGTGACCTTCCTGTCCAAATAATCTCCTATTTTCTGACACTCATTCCATTGTTTTAGATTTAAAACAATCAGCAGTACCGTTTCCTTTGTGAAAGGCAAATCTTTAAAGGAGCATTTGAGACCTTACATCGTCGCCACGATCAGTGTGATGTGAGAAGCAGATCTGATGGACCTGACCTTACTTTGAAGCCCACTCGCTGTTTAGGTTGGGTCCTTAATCAAAGGCACCGAAACGCAACACTGCAATTACAGACCCTGCTTCGTTACCCGACTGACAAAACTCATCGGATTTTTAACTTATTGCTGTAGTCAGAATCCTCTGGGTTTTCATCATCATTATTATTATCATTATCATCATTAATAATAATAATAATAATAATAATGATAATAATGACAAAAATGATAGTAGTAATAAATACCATCCATTCATCTTCTGAAACCGCTGGTCCTGTTCGGGGTTAAGAAGGGTCCAGAAGCTATCCTGGAGATGTCAGGAGCAAGGCAGGGAACAACCCAGGATGGGGCACCAACCCATCGACACACACTCACACATCATTCACTCCCACATGC